TAAATTAAATTATAATAAAAAATTGAATTAAAGAAGTTATACCAAGAAGAGAGAAATATTAAATAGTTAATTTGATATTAATATCGATTTATTTTTTTTCAAAATTTATGCTATCTTCATATTTATATTTCATTCAAAAATAAAACATTATCATTTTCTCAAAACCACATAAATCGTATTATATTGATAGAGACAAAATAAAAACTAAACATTAAAATGAAGGTTTATCTTGCTGCATTATGTGAGTACCCTTCTAGAGGTCAAATAATTCTTAATAGGTTTTCTTTGTTGACTTTTTAATTGTTACCTGGAGTCAACAATTTCATATTTGGAGCATCTCCAATTATATTTTTATCTTTAAATTAAGGTAACGTTATATGCATTTATTTTTATTTTAAAATTAGGTTAAGTCATGCAATGCAATGAAGATGTAAAAAACAATATGTTGATGTGTATGAAAAAAAAGTTAGTAAATAGGAAATAGGAATGTGTTTAGCAACGTAGAAGGGTTTTAAATTATTGTAGGGACTAGGGAGTAATTTGCTTAAATATTAGTGAACAAAGTGTTTTTTTTTAATATGCTAATTCCAACAATGGACTGTTTGACAGATATTGAATGGTAAGTTATCAGAATGATCAAGAGACTCTTACAATATAGTGCAAAATAAAATATAATTGTTTGATAATTATTCAGATTGAAATCGTGGTGCTGAATGGTTCAGGGAGGCTTGAGATATAAAATTATTCAGAAGGTTTTAAAACCATTAAGAGACAGACTTCTTTTTTGTCAAACAAGATTCACCTCTTAATGATTCATATGCTGCTTTTAATGGAACTATCAAGAGGTAAACAAATAACTCCATATGTCTAAGGTAAAAAATCTTCATGCAAGGAACGTTCTTAAATTAATAAAACAAGATAATATGAATCAAGTTGATTAATATTTTGCATCTAATTAGGATTAATAATGACATATTATGCAAAATGAGAAACTAGAGAATTTTGTTGGAACAGATTTTTCAAACCGGAAAAAGTAAGAGAGAGAAAGTAAACATCTCTAAATTTGAAGAACTTTCTAAAAATGATTGTTTAAAATCGAAAAAGAATATTTTATTCTTTGAAATTAAATGTTTACAAGAGAGAGATAATATTTTATGTTAGTAATATAATTAATGTTGTAATATCTAAAATGAATAATATGTTGAAGTTGAACGTATAGTCTTTTGTAGATTTTGATTTTTGACTTTTCATTTTAAAGGAATTTTATAGAATTTGTTGAAAATGATAAAATTTATAGCTTTAAATTCAATTAAATTTCTAACGGTTTTGGTGCAAGCATTTGGGATTATTTAATTTTAAATTATTAATCCCCAAACACCGGAATTATATGATTATCTAATCAATTTACTTAATATGCAATCGAAAAAAAAAAAAAAAACCAAAAGGTGGAGGTGTAATAATCATATGTAATAAGCGGTGTTTCAACAGAAAAAGTTGGTTAACATAATGATGATGAAACTTAATCATCATCAGACAAACAAACAACTTCATTGCCACCATTTTCTTTACTTGCGTCCAGAAACTCAACATTTGGCTGATGAAAACCAGCTGCTGCTTGTGTATCAATGTCCATAAGCAAACCGAGGGCCGGTAGGCTTAATATATCAGCACTTGGCAACACTATTCCATTTTCAACCCTCCCTCCTGCTGCAGCACTATAAAGCCCAGTGTGGCTTATTGATATCGATGGCATAGGTGGTAGTGAAGCTTGGGGAAGTGAGGAGGATGTGGTGACATGCACACTACCTGCTCGATGCTGCTCAGATGGGAGCTGAATAGGTGGTGCTACTGCCACTGATGCTGCTGGCTGAGATGAAGCTTGGCCCAGCGATGGAGTTGCTGCAGGTAAACTTCTTGGAGAATTCTGAGTAGGTTGGCCGTTATGATTTTTTGGAAAAGTTAGTGGCGTTTGTGATGACAGCCGAGCTGAAGCTTGCAAAAAGGTGGCAGAGGATGCTGACAAGCTGCTTGATGTGTGCTGACTTGACTTCATTCTGTGAGATGCAAGATCATGAGTAATGGATGTTGAAGGCCTAAAAGGTCGAATATGTGGGGCCGGAGCACGGATTTCACCAGTTAATCGTGGAACCCTGGTGGAAGGCGGTGGTGGTCTACTAGATCTGCTAGAGGAGGTGATGTTAGGGGGTGGCGGTGGTCTACTTGGTCTGCTAGAGGGGGTGATGGGGTTGATATTAGGTGGTGGTCTGCTTGGTGTACCGGTGAGGCTGATAGATGGTGGTCTATTTGGCATGCTCAATGGGGTAATTGGGTTGGTGTTAGACGGTGATCTGGTTGGCATGCTCGAGGGGTTGGAAGTAGACAATAGTCTGCTAGGTGTGCTCGAGAAGAGATTTGCAGACTGGTGAACTATTTGAAGAGGTGGCTGCAGCCTCGTAACCTGTTGGCTTCCTGAAGATTGAGCAGGTGAAGATGAAGTAACCACAGTGGAATGCCGCAGGGATGGTTGCACCGGAAACTGATGCAGATGCTGCATTCCTCCCGATTGAGCAACTGCAAAGAATGCAGGTGAAATCACATAAACACAAATGATTATAATTCCAAATACGACCATCTTCAAGAAAGCATACCTTGTCTTCCTCTAGGGTCGGAAGGGCCGACATCTTGGCACTTGAACCTGAAAGCCTCGGCCAATATTTTATTCATGACTGTTCTGTTGAGATTGATATCAACTTCCTTCATTTTTGACTGAAATGCTGCCTCTGCATCCTGCCGTTTAGCATCATACTTGAGATTCATCTGAGCAATCAATTCGGCGAATTCCTTCTCATAGTCAGATTTCAGCTTCTGCTTCTGCACAAAGACAATACCCAGAAGCATGATGAAGAGTGAAGACATAAACTTCTAGCAGCGATTTAAGTTAAAAATCAAACTAGACACTGACAATAGCTTCGTGGAATTTGATAACATTATCCTTGAGTTCATGTAATTTCTCCACTTCAGCTTGAAGTGGATCAGAAGAAAACTTGGACTTATTAGGTGCCCATGAGACCCCTTGATTATGGTTCTCGGATCCTTGCATGTTCAACAGGTTTGGCCCCGGTGGTGTAGCAGCTCGACTTGAAACTTCCGTAGTAATCTCTGAAACTTGAGGTGGTGCCTCAGGACTTGGGGGAGGGTTATGTGCCTCGTGTCCAGGTGGTGTAGCGGCTGATAGAGTGGTCTGCCCATCACTGGTAATCTCAGGCACAAGTTTACTGACTGAAGGTGTATCAGATTGATTCTCAGCAACTGCAGGATTAGCCGACAATGAGAAACACGATTCCTCATGAAGGTGAAGGGACGAATCTTCTGAATTGAACTGGCCATCTTTTCCAGCATCTATAGTTCTCAGATTATTAATTTCCGTTGAAGAACATGGGTAGCCTTGAACTACATTATCTTGAACAGACTCATTTCGGATCTCCTGACAAGTCCACATATTTTACAATGTTATCTCACAAGAAAAGAACAGCACCAATTTATATATTAGTTGAAGAATCAGATGGAGCAAAACCATGAAAGAATCTTGATATACAAATACAATCACTTCAGTTATAAAAATGGTAGAGGTAGATGGTTCAGAGTGATTAGTTAATTCCAAAGGTTTGATCTCTGTATTACCATCTATGCACGATCTTTTTGAACAATTTCGGTGATACAATAAGAAAAGATTAGTCTCTCTGACTGGGTTATGGTTCAAGTTGAATGGGCCAGATTGGATGAAGATATAGACAAGATGCGCAAAATAAACTCACCAAATATGTTGGAACTGATTGACCTGAAGCTGGAAAAACTAGAGGCAGAACTGAGGGTAGTTTTTCTTTTGACACAGCTGCAGAAGGTGAGTTACTGTCATCTTTTTGGTTGCAACCAACAGCTAGCGATACCATTCCAACAGAGCCAAGATGCCCCTCAACATCATTAGGACTGATATCATTCTGATCCTCCCGGAAATGTGATCTATCAGAAATCGTAGCGCCTGCTTCAGTAATTTCTTTGTTGCAATCTGCAAGTAACACTTTCATCCTCAAAGAATCAACTTGCTTCTCCACATCGTTACAAACACCTTCATGATTTTTTACTGGAATCTCTTCAACTGGCACACTTGATGTTGCTACATCAACCACTTGCTTTACGGAAGCACGTGAGCTTGTTGGTTCAGTGCTGTTCTCACTATTGCTTGAACTACATGGCCTCTTGGATTGTTCCTTATTTCTAGCACCTGACACCTCCTCAAACACATTGCCATCTACCTCAACATTGTTTGTACCAGTCTTTGCACAACTTCTCCCATTAGGCTGGTCCTCAATGCTAGCACTAGCCAATTTAAAGGACAGCGCATTCACTGTAACACTTGCTGAATTGGGATCTGTATGAGAAAGTATAGTTTCAGAACAGATGCTTCCACTCACCGTCGCATTTGGACTGGTCATAATATCAGATGATATAACCAGACCGTGATGCTCGCCGTGTACAATTTTATCAGGACATTCTACTTCCATCAGATTTCGGGACAAAACTGGAGCTCTTTTAGGGCTATCTTGATCTCCATGTTCACTACCAGAGAACTCCATCTGGTTCTCTACTTTTACGTCCTGTAGGTCAAATGGTCCTGGGTGTGACACCCTTGGATCTAATGACCATGTGAAAGTAGCTTGGGCTGATGGTATACGATCTTTTGACACATCGCTTTTCTTTTGGTTCTCTGTATGACGTAAGAACATGTCCCTTGCTGGTTCCAACTTCAAATACACCGATTTTGCCTCTTCTTCATTGCAAATGAAACTCAAGTGTTTCTTTGCAAGAGCAACTGATTGTCTCCTATCAAGCTTGTGTTTTAATAATGCAGAACCAATCCAACACTGGAACAACAGCATATACCAGTTAGTAAAACGATAAGAGGAAAAAAAAAATCACACCTTTGAGATTCAAAGAATAATAGATCTCGTGATCACAGGCATGCAATAAAGGGGAGAGGGAAAAAATTATGCATTATATGGAAATATGGCATTTTTAAAGTTGGTTAAAGTGTATATGTGAGACCCTTCAGAAATTATATTTAGTGATCATACCCAAAAGGATCAGGAAGAAATTTTTTCCCTTCTTAGTTATCTATGGCCAACCAAATATCTTAGCCTTCAAATCTATTTCGATTCCTTCCACCCAAGCAAATTTGATCCCCTCTTGACTTTCCTAAGGGTCTCTTCTAGGTATAACCAAAACTGAGATATATTGCAAGTGAAGGAAAGACTAGAAAAAGTGAAAAACCTTATAACTTTATGCTTAACAAGATCAGGAAAAAAGCAAAAAAATATCTATTTTTTCACCATATCAGAAAAAGTTCAGACCAGAGATATCAAGAAAGCCTGTAATGTATTTGCGGGTTCCTCATTGACATGATAATTCTCGATAACATATTCGAGAAATCTTTCCACCATTATCTTGACATCCCCCTGCATTTACAACCAAGAATAGGAAAATCCAATCAAACATGTTATCTGTTTCTAGCAAGTAACATACAGCTTTAAACAAGATAACAATAAAGAACATGTTTACGTTCACAAATAACAAGATATATAATTATTATCCAGTGGTACATGGATGACAATCTTCAACAAAGATAAGAACAAGCTGCATTAAATCGGAAGCCCAGGATTATCCTAATGTGGTCTATGGGACTGTAATAGATATATGTCGATAGGCACCAAGTTAGGAAGCAAAATTTCTCTAATTACAAATTATGCATCAAAATATAATCCATCACCTAACAACTACTATTCTATTCTGAAATAGAAAATTTGAAATGCAATCTTGCTTGAGCTATCCAAGAATCTTGCATTATTTCAGCAATTAACAACTGGTCCTCGTAACCATTCTAATTTTGGATATCTACCATGAAATAAGATGCTACATATTTGTCCCAATTTAGCATAATTGTGAAATGAACGTCAGGATTTCTATCCTGCATATCCTATCACCTTTGGCAGTGAAAAGAACCTTCATGGTTCCTTCTCGAATTAAATTTCTTTTGTAGGCATTTGGTGAAATTGCAACAAAAAGAATAATAGAAAAAGTAGATTCTCATAATGGATGTAAAAATATTTTGGATTATACATCACTAGAACGCTTCCTAATTATCATTCGTACCAATACATATTACAAAGATCTTTTTAAAAGTTGAAGCAAACATGCTATGCCAAATCAATTCACGATTCGTGAACTTGTGTAGCCACTCTTGATTCAGTACCTTACGACTATTTTACTCACTCCGGCCCAAAATTGAAGCATAGCTTCCCTTTTGGGGATGTTCCAAATAAGAAGTAGCATGTGTCCTTTTTGGCAGAGATTCAATCATAATTACATCTTTGCCTCAAGTGATTTGCAGAATATTATTCTGGTGAGCAATGATCCTCTTATTTGTCACTATTAAGGGCGATGCAAAGCTAATAGTCCAACAGTTGAATGGAACTATGTACCAGGTCAACCGTTGCATATTTGATATTCTAGTATCAAAGGTGGGGGAGTATCTAATTATGCATGGGAAGGAAGTACCTAGCAAAGCTGTTTTCTTCTTTACGTAGACCACATCCTCATACTTGGGCAAAACATAAAATAACTTCCGAAATCTTATAATCTTTAGTGATATAACGCGTAGAGTGAGGTTCAGGGGAAAACCCCCCAAAAAATGAAAAAGTAAGAAACACCCTCATAATCATTCATCTGTACGGTATGCACATGTGCATACAAGTAATTGAAGATGTTTCCGGGTTTCTATGCACGTGTGTATGTTATGCACATATGCATACTGGAAAAATTACTTGTATGCAAATGGGCATACCATACAGATGAATGGTTACTAGGGTGTCCCTCCGTTTTTCAATTTTGCGGTTTTCCACTGAACCTGACCCATAAAGTGTATGTACCGACACATCTACACTTTGAAAGGGGATGACTACCTTAGAGACAAATAGGAGCTACAGAGAATTTGATATTCCTATTTCAGAAGAAAAAATATGGCAGAAAGAATAAAGTACCACCATAGGATTTCCTCAATTGACACTGACAAACACTAGTAAGATATCTAGCAATAACATCACAGTGATTCCTAGGTGTATAAAATTCTCTCCAAGAGACATAACTGGTGTTATTGTCAAATTTTCTAGCTTTAGAATACGTCTGAACAAATAGGTAAGAACCATACCGATAAACCGAGGACTTCACATAGTTTAGATATATTGAGCTTCAAGAGGGACTGAAAGTCTGTTTCATTATGGACTGCATCACACCAAAAGCTGTTACCAGGGGATGATTGTGATCCATCATGGGAAGGAACGCTAGAAATCCCTGAAAGAATATGTGAGGATCTTAAATTCAGAAGTCACTGTTATCATGATAGCTATACAACTTATGCACAATCTGGTTGACTCGATTTCCATTTACAATGAAAATTTAAAAGAACTAGACATGTCTAGTAAAATGAGCATTACTAACTCACCCCTACATGCCCCTGCAATTTCACCTTCTACGGTTCCTGAGATTGACGCAACAGGTTCAGTGATGTTTGCAGTTTTCTTACGCTTGCGTCCAACATCCTCATTGCCGGCATTTATTTTTTTAGGTGACTGCTCACAATACTGGGGTCTTTTCCTTTGCCTTGGGGTTGACCTAGATAAAAATTTCCAACACGGAACCCTTCCCACCAACAAATTTCTCCAAAAGGTATTAGGCTGTTCCCCATTTGGCAACTGGGTTATTAGCTCACTTGGCAATGGAAGATTCTTACTGTAAGTTCCACCACTTTGTTGAACTCTTGTAATTATTGACTTGGATGTATCTGTGTTCTTACATTTGTGAGAAATCAAGTTTAAGAACTCTTCCGTTACTTCGTTCAGCAAGTGTTCTTCAGAGGAAATATTCAGAACAGAGGTACTATGAAACTCAGTAAGTTTCTTAAACAAGTATGTGGCACCCCACGTGAGCAACGCATCACTAGTGCTCCTACTCAGATTCTGCAACTTGCTATCGATAGTTACATTGTGCTCTGCAAGTATAAGAATTTTTTCTTCCAGTGTCCAGGAAGTATATAAGCGGAATATCATAATTTGTTCCGACTGTGGATCAAGAGCTATTTTCTGTAAAGCTCTTAAATCATTTGCAGGATTCCAGTCACTGTCAAATATGACTATGATGTCAACTGACGATAGTTTTATGCTTGGAAGACAAGCGCGATATTCTAGTAAAAAGATGAATCTACCCATATCTTTGTTGTTGAAGTTATTTAAAGCAGCTTGCTTCTTGGAGGGGATAGTTCCAATCCCATCCACACGCTCATAGGAGTCTTCACCAAATCTCTGACGAACAAAATCATCCAAAATGTCTCCAATAGAAGTTGAATCTTTTCCGGAACCGCTTAAAGGCTGTCAGGATACATGCATAGATGAAAATTTGATATAATCACAGAAGACTAGTATAACTTTCCACGGTGAACAAAAGGATCTCATTGAACAGGCACATCCAACAGAAGATGCAGATCTCAGAACATCAAAAAATCTAGCTATAAGGATTACACTCTATGTTCATTTGGCTGCAGTTTTCACTGGTAAAATAAAACCACATTATACTCGGAATAATCCATATAGCAGGAGCATTCCTTGTTCACCTGTATGCTTCACAAATAACTTTGAAAATTTTGGCCGTTAAAGGTAATGTAAGGCCAAAATCATACTGTTGAAAGCCTATTCAGTTGCAAGGTGGAATTTCAATTCGGAATAAACAAAGCAGTAGTAAAGTCCTTCAGAAACAACATCATCAACTAGGTTGACTCAGAAATAAAAAAACCAGAGCTTTTTAGATTTTAATAATTTAAAATAATCCAAACAAGTCGGTTAAATTAATTCTGTTCAACACAACATTCCCTCCTTTAATCTGTCCCAAAGATCACACCTTGGATTTAGAATTCTAGCTTACATGTTTATAAATTCAAATTTAACAAAAGCAACTTTTAGTTTCATAATATCAAAATGTTGTTTTTTAATATTTCTGTGCTTTATGGTGGTATACAAATATTATGTCTACAAAAACAACTTTCTTTTATCAAATCAACATCAAAAGGAACTTTGGTGACTGTTATGGTCAAAAGCAATACAAACTCAATATTGGGATGGACGGACCATTAACTAAGGCAAACATTAAAAAAGAAGATTTGAGACCGACTCTTCCAAGTCTTGGAATCAATGCTCCATGACTAGGACAAGGTCACAGTTCTCAAAGCAAAAGTCCCCATCTCTGTTTTGATGAATCCCACAGAGTGGTTCTGAAAGATCATAGTGGTGAATGATTTGATAAATGTTGAAGCAACTTGAGAATAAAAGCAAAGACAAGAAACAATATAGTTTAGCAAACATCTATTTCACCTGAAAAAGAATAAGAACTCTGAGTTGGCGCTTTCTCATCTCGGGCAGTATCAGGTCCAGAAATTGCAGTTTGCCACTTGCTTTTATGCCAACATCTAAAAACTTGGCTGGCTCAAGACCCTTTGTAAGGACACCTTGAAGACCTTGGTCGACAATGTAGGGGTGATCACAACACTAAAAAGAAGAAACTAGTATCAACCAAAGACATGATAATGTGCAGTGGAATATTCGTCAGTATTTAAATTATTCAACAAGATATGGAGAACTTTTCATTGTTTAATACAGAAGCAGATTAACATTGAAGACAAAGATAGCAAGTATAACTTCCGTAAACTCCCCCATTCCAAATATTATCTATACTTTATATTCAGTTGATGAAATGATACGCCAAAAGAATTTGGGTGAAGCAAGGATGGAGAAATGTAAACATTAAAGGGCATTGAAAAGTCATCATGAATTCATTCCATTTAATGACATGGTTAGTTTTAGTAGAGATAGCCACAGGTCTGTTTCACTTTCAAGTTGCTTCTTCTTATCCATTGCCTAGTAATTGGCAAAATAGATCTTCATAGCTTAAATTTCTTTTCAAAAATTTCTTTCCGGAAATGAAGTCCTAGATATTTAGATAATGCACATGTGTTTAACAACTACAAAGAACATGCAATAGTTATTAGGGGTGTTTCATGCCTTGTGAAAAAGAAGAGCTTAACATTAGTTTCTTATGGCAAAGCTCATCAATCTTGAAAACAGATGAGGGGATCAACAAGTAAACTATTTTCATGTAATTAAATTATGGTAGTAAATAGCTGTCAGAAATATCAGGAAAAACCAAGACATTGAGATGTCTCACCCTCTCACTATCATATGAGATTATCAAATTGAAAGGGAAAAATCATGTAAAACTGTAAAGCACCAGACCTTCACCTCAGCTGGTCTTTTGATTTGGGTGATAGGATCAGAAGTAGCTAGAGGTAACATATAAGTATTTCCACATTTATGAAGTAAATATCTGATCAATACAATATAACTACACTCCAAGGGGCTGTTTGGTTCGTGGAATTCTAAGGAATTTGATGAAATCGGAATGACAAATTCCTTCAATCAAATTCCTGGATGATGTTTAGTTCGCAGATTGAATCGATTGGATTCTGCTAAATTCCATGGTTGAGGGATTTGATCATTCCTTGGCATAAGTGAAACATTTGAATTTCATTTTGTGACAAATGTCACAGATTTTATATTTTGGTTTTAAAAAACATAAAATAGCATTTACATCCAATCTAACCAACACCCCCACCATCACCCCCACCACCACCCCCACCGCCACCAACCACCCCAACCAACCTTCACTACCGTCACCATTGTCATTGCTACCCGCCACCCCAACCCCGACACCACCACGAAATAATTGGCGTCGTCACAGCCGCCACCCCCACCACACCACACCCCTCAACACATGCAGATTCCAATTTTTATGCGAGATCCCATTCCAAATCCTGCCAACCATATGCGTGGTCAAATTCCATTCCAATTCCTTCAAAGGCCAGAGTCCTTTGATGGGTTCCAGTTCCACCAAATTCCATTACGTCAAACAACACTCTAAAGTCATTAAATCAATTATCCGAGAATTTGTTCAATATGTCAACAACATCCTTATAGCAAGCAGAGAGAATTTATGCAATGGCATAGTCTCCCAATTATGATAAGCATACACCAAAAGTTAATGGCATAAAGATGTAAGCGATGCTAGCATACTAATGTTGAGTTAATAGTCCAGATATAAAAATAAAACATGAAGAACCACTAGTATTATATATATGCAAAATATATAATTTTAACTTAAATTCACAGGTAATTGGGTGTACGCTGTACCCACTCCACCCACATGTACAGGTATAAAAACACCCAGTCTTTTGGGTACTTTAAATTTGCAATCAGTACATGATTTTCAGATACACCCATAGATAATGGGTAGTTTGTCGTACAACACTAAACGCTTATCTTTTCTCTTGGTTATGCATGAGATTGAAACGAGTACTGAATGAAGGGTGCAGAATTGTATAACATTACAGGTGAGAATGTTAATTGATATGAACAATATTGATGTGCTTCTAAGCATCTATAAGGAAAATGAGGACATTTTGCATCAACAGCATAGATATAACAAGATTCAACTGATGCAAGAATAGTGCAGGAACAAACCTTCCGGTTAGAAGCAAGAATGTCATGGAGAGCCCCAAAAGTATCACTTTTTGAACATGAACTAAGAGCCATAGCATTTGAAAGTAGCATAGAACAATACTGCTCAAGCTGCAGATTGGATATCTGGACAGGAACCCAAAATTCTACAAACTTAGAAGAGCTGGACTTGCATTCATATGCAATAAACTTCGACAAATTAGGCCAAGCACCATCAAAATCTAGGAGTGACAACACATCAAGATAACCGGCCATGCTCACCTGCAACACAACATTAACTCATGCTCTTAGTAGCAGCAGGAGAGTTGTGGAGACAAGAGACACAGAACACAAATGCTAGACATGGCATTTAAACACACAAAATAAATGATTCACTTAAGGGAAGGAACTTACAACTAATGGACCAGAGAACACAAGCAACCTCTTGTAGGTGGATAGGCTCTTAACGTGACTAAAATGAGAGGAGATTTCTAAGCTCTGAGATTCATCAACTATGACTGCTTCCCATTTTATGGCTTTTAACACATTTAAATCCTGTAAGGAGATCATAAGAAACATAACAAAATTACTATGGAAAAACAACAATACAAACTCCATGTTCGCCATCAGGGATCATGAACTTATTTGGCACTCCATTAGAAAAAATTGTGCAGATCTAATGGTAACTGGATTGTAGAAAAAACAGAAACCCCCTGACAATTGTTAGATATTTATTTCCAGTACCATAAACCTGCTATACTTACATACCTTAACAAATGCATCCACATGGTAAAGAAGTACTTGGAATGCTAACTGACCACCTTCCTTTTGAACTTCTAGCAATCTAGAACCTCGTTGGCCCTCCTCAAGGGAAACTTTGAGGTCATTACAAAGTGCTATCCTTGAGAACATAGCTTCCCATTGTGATAGAGAATTGGATGGTGTGATTAGTAGGAAAGGAAGAGTTACACCCTTCAACGAGAGAATAAAGAGAACAATCCTCAGTGTCCGCTCCTGCAAGTGTGACATTCCCATCATATTCCTTTCATGCCTCTCAAGTCCCAACACAATAAAGCAGATAACCAAACCTGCTCATATAGGCTCAGTACAAAGCTGATGCGTAGAAGGTAAATGGAATAGCAAGAGAAACTATTCATACGCTTGGACATAAGAATACAGACAATTATAAGATATACAACAAAGATTTGGATCCAAGGTTCCAGCAATTTCAACCTTGACACATGGTGAACAATCGCGACCATGACCCACTGTTCCACTTCCACCTACATGCGCACAAGAATACTAGCCAGCCCCCAGCAGCAGCACTTCAAAATTGGAGGTCAAAAGAACATTTTCTGACGGGAAGGCAGGAGCATAATGGAAATTTCAAGAAATCACTCATGTTGTCATCAGGATAGTTATTACTTTTATCATTTGCATTGTTGTATAGGAGAATAGATTCATTTATGATATGTACTCCTACTTCCACTAGGCTTCAATACTATAACGATATAGTCTTATGTACAGATGTGCTCTCCAATCATGACAACAGAATCACTTACACTTTGACCATGTTCTTGAGTTCCACTGTAATGGCCACTCCTTGTGAGGGTAGGTGTAATTTCAATATTTTTCATTGTTCTCTTCTCTTCTCACCCACCCAGTCTATTTATTCTCTCACGCCCTACATCAAAGTAGTAGCAGAGCTACTAATAGGATATTTAAGCTTTAGGACTGCATCATGTTACTTAATGATAACTCCAAAGATTCCAAGTCCAAAACACGTCTTCCTTTACCCATTCATAAACCCTGATCCCCTCCCACACAGCTTCTACTTCTTCACAGTCTAGAAAATAACTATTGTTTACATGAATAATTCTATTCATGACACCATTCACCTACCTCACATTCACAGAATCCTTTCCAACACTGTACATCCACAAATCTTACAAATGAATTAATACCGAGGTGCAAGTGATTAATTTTAAAACTTTTCTCAACCAAAAGTAATATGATTATCCATGCTTTCCTGGCTGAAACCACATAACTCACACACAATTAAAGCTCGAAAAGAAGAAACTGTTGGATCAAATATCACAAGCAACAAGCAGTAAAAATAAGGACTCTCAACATGCTACTCAAACTGTGGAATTTTGCAAGACCAGTCCCCTTAATTTGTGTTTCCTAGCCACTTATTCAGTCTTTTCTTAAGAGGCCGGGGACGTAAAAAGATTTGACACATAATCTCCGAGGTAAAACCAGCAAGGCGGTGGGCCAAACACCAAGCTAAATGTTTAATGGCAAAAGCAAGTCTCTGAAAAGTAATGCCCAAGAAAGTACAATGAGAAATCTTCAGGTTTCATGTGATGCATCAACTTTCATGATTTTTCATTTTCCCTCCTTGTAAAACTTGGGGACAAGTTTTTTCAAATAAATGAGATGATGACAGGAAGACAAGAGCATTAATGACAATTCTACAAAATTAGTATCAGTGAGAATAAAAAAGGGATTGGAGACCTAGCATTGTAGGTCAGTAGAGCTTTAGAACATTATTCTGATTGTTATTAGACTAATGATGCCTTTTATCATTTAGTTTTATCGTTAGCTCTTTATTTAGTCTATAAAGAGAAGCATTTAGTTTTCTTTTATTCAACAGTTCCTAATTTGGAATAGATCTTTAGAATGATGGACAGTATTATATAGTAATGTAAACCTCAATCGGAATAGCATGTATAGGTATTTTATTCAACAGTTCCATCCGCAATAGATCTTTAGAATGATGTACGGTATTATATATAGTGATGTAGACCTTAATCACAATAAGATGTTAAGTGATTATGATTTATTTATGGTTATAAGCCCGGGTCTCATGGCCAATCCCTGCTGACAGTAGATGTTAACTAAACGTCTTTTTCGTTGTTCTTTGCTCTTCTCACCATTTATATTATCCTTCTTCTCTACCCACCAAGTCATTTCTGGTTTGCTGTTTTCTCTTTATGCATTCTTTGTTACTAGAAGCAACAAGACAGATCACATCAAGATCAAATCATGTGATGTCCCAATGAGTTTAGTTCCATGGTCCCACAAACATATTCAATTTCACTACCATCACTTGAAATTTATTACTTTTGCCACAATGAGGTCAATCTGATCAAACCAAACTTCAATCACAATCTAGTTTTCTGGACACAAAATCAAATCTAAGGTTGGGTTTTTTTGGTCGAAATTGTCAATCAGTAACCAAGTTACAACTGATCTGTAGCCCTGAATTGACCTGGTAGGTGACACATACTTTTAGTAGGACCTCTGAGAATTCTGATATACGGAGGTCTAACTGCAAATAGCAGAGCACAGTTAATCGTCAATCAGTAACCAACGTTCTGAGTTTTCCACTTCAAATAATCAAAGTTTACATGTGAAAAGTTAAGCCAGGTTATTGATGTAGACTAGTAAAGTCCTAATTCTATAGCTAAAACCTATTATAGAATACATACACGTCTAGAACAGGTCATAAGGATAAGGTTCTCTTTCTACAAATACCCAAATGACATAATTAATATAAGCTCAGAAAGTTCACCTGGTCATCAAAAACCAAGTTGTTCTTCTCTTTATTCCATGCATCATGTAATTTCTTAACATAGCTTAAATGGATATCATCCACTCCAGCTGGGTTGCCAGCAGGAATAGTTGGAAGTTTGACAGACAATTCCTTAATCTGTGGTAAAAGAAAAAGAAAAATAAGAATAGTTTGAATTAACAAACAAGAACAACATATAAATCCATGGCTCAAAGTTCAAACAAATGGCAAACACCACAATGTAACATCAACAGCATAAGACTGTCAGCAGGTGACATGTTTTTGCAGTATCAAAACAAGTAAAAAAGAAGAAAAGGCAGTTGAAAAACTCCAGGGCTCAAGTTTTAGGCTAGCAGCAAAAACATGGCAGTAATATAAGAAAATGAACAGAAAGATCTTCACCTAAACAACCACCTTATAAGCAGTGTGATCTTACACGGGTTTATTGGTAGAGCTTCTAAAAAATCATAGTTTATAGATGGTAGTAGGAACAAAAGAAGGGGAGCACAAACATGACTTTTGCTAGATATAACTGTCACAGCAAACTTACTATGACCCCGTATATAGAAATCGAGTAGAGATATGATCTATACATATGGACATCTTTATGGTCAAAGCACAGAAAAAGGTGGTTTACTTGATGAGTAGTGAGGAGGTAATAAACCCACAATTGACCCCAGAAAGGTTGACTTTTCCAGAAAGTTAAAACCAAGTATCTGCTATGAAATTATCGATCCTAGATAATAGAATACATTATAGATAGATATGGCACAATATGACAATAAAGCTTAAGATAATCTGCTACATGATCCACTGATAGGTATATAGACGAAGGATCAACAACGATTTACCCACGGTTTCTTTCTTAGTTTTCCATGGTTTACATAATAAGGTCCATCCATCACATGTAAGGGTTCAATTATTATTCCACTCCGCTTCAATATGGTGAATAGCCACAATCTAACATCTATGCATTTGAAACAAACCATTACTAAATGATCTGATACCAAGTATAACTCAGAACTACATCTTCATAATCAGATATAAATATGGGTTGTTCTCTTAGAATGCTTAGCTTGCATCTGTTAAGCATAAATTTATTGTCTACACCCAAATAAAAATTAATAAAATAAGTCATCAAATTCGAACCGCATCAGATAGAAATCATCAAATAGCTATTCTGGATTCGTTTGCAATTAGAAAAAAAAATACATTGCAAATTTGAAATTTTAATGCTTTGAGAGGAACTGAAGTTGTGCCATAAAATGAAGAACCAAAAAGAAATGTGCTATTTGATTTATTAGAATATAACCAGGGCCAATACCAATTTATGTACAAGCGCAATCAGGTTGATTGATATTTCTATTTACTTCATGATTTCAATATAGGCAACATTTTGATCCTACTAGCTAGGTAAATGGAGAAGACCACTTCCAAGAACATGTTGACAAACAAGTTGCCTGAATGAAGAAAACTAACTACTTAAAAAATGTATTATAAGTGAACAATGTCAAAAGATATACCTTATCATCTGATGAAGAAGGTATCTTTGCATTTCCATGCTGATTTTCATGCTCTCTTACGAGGTTATAACCTTCAGGTGAATCTAGAACAGTAATATTCTCCAATTCCCATGTGGCCTGCTCAGAATCAAGGCCTTGCCATTTCACAAGCCACTCATTGTGGTAATTCAAGACCTTACCTGAATTCTGCCGAGTCCCGTAAAGTGGCTTAAAAGACAATATCAGTCTTTTCTTTAACAATTGATGTGGCACAGTCCATTCTTCAGTCCACCTCATCTGGAAAGAGGAGGATGTGTTCAAGAAGAGGCTGTTACTACCAGAAAAATGAAATGTGCAGTATCACAAACAAAAAAGAAAAAAGAACATATGTTGATCACCCATTAATTTTTACGAACTAATCCACATCAATTTAAAAGTTCAATTTTTTACTTGAACTGATCCACCAAGCCATAAACAATTAAACTGATGGCAAAAGACTTAGAGCTTATTTACCAAACTGTTTTTGCTAAAATTTTCCATAAGCAGCGGAGCTTCAAGTAGCAACTGAGTTTCTGTTATCCACTGGTTGTGAATATGAGCAAGACCTTTGTATTTAACAAAATACTGCTTCTGCAAACCTGAAAGAGGAAATCATATGCTAAGTAGATTTCCAGAACCCGAGTAAGTACAGAAATAGAAGTGCAAGAAACATTGAAGTGAGTGGTTCATGCAAATCTTTTAGACCGTTCACTTTTTGAAGTAAAAATGTCTTATAAGTTCATTCAGACCTTCAGCATCTGACACCTCCACTTCTCTAGTATCCCAGATTGACTCTATGACTTGAACACATGATTTGATGTTCTTCACACAGAAGGGACAGCACCAATTTCCTGATGGAACGCTATTCACAGGAGGATCCAAACAGGAAAGGTGGTAACATCTGTTGCAACCTAATGCATCACAGTACCTGCAGTTACATGTGAAGTGAGTATGATCCTTCCAAAACATTACAGTGCTAAAAGAAGTGTTGAGAAATTAGAGAAAACTATGTAGAGAGAATTGAAGGAATCTTATTTACGAAATTGAGACTATATTTACAAATGAGGATAACCCAACTATTTATAGGTAGCAGTCAAGATACGCAAAACAGAAAAAACAAAACTAACTATTTCAATTAAAGCCACATCAAACAAATCTCCACCTTGGCTTTAATTCTAGTACAATTTTTTTTGCTTCCAGCTATCAATGTTTAGGAGATCTAAACAATGCTTAAACTTATTCAAAGAAATGGGTTTCGTCAGTGCATCATCAGTCTTCACTTTCTTCACTTTAATTCTCCTTTCCGAACGTATAAAGTGATAACGAGCATCTATATGTTTCGTTCCTCATGATGCACCTGGTCTTTTGCAAGACAGAGTACTCAGACTGTTACAAAAAACTACAGTCTGATATTGATGAAACCCAAGATCTCCAAGCAAACCTTTCAGCCAAATCTCTTCTTTTGCAGCCTCCATAAGAGCCATATATTCAGCCTCTGTTGTAGACAAAGCAACAGACGGCTGTAAGGTCGCTTTCCAGCTCACTAAAGCATCTTCAACAGTGAACACATATCCCGTTAATGACCTCTATGTGTCAAGGTCAGCTGCGTAATCAGAATCTGAAAATCCAGCCACAATACAATCTCCTTCTCCTCCATAAATGAGACCTATATCAGCTGTGCCTTTGAGATAACAAAAAAACATTTCACGGCAACCCAATGTTCTTTCCCCGGATAAGCCACGTAACGTGAAACAACACTAACAGCATGAGCTATCTCAGGTCTAGAGCAGACCATGACTTTACATAAGACTTCCTACAACATTAGAATAAGGAACTTTGCTCATATACTCCACCTCAGCCTCGGTTTGAGGTGCCAAAGCCACTGATAATCTGAAATTTGCCGATGAAGGGGTGCTCACAGGCTTTGCAGAAGCCATACCAAAACAAGAAAGTATCTTCAAAATGTAACTTTTCTGCGACAAGAAAAGTTTACGTCTAGATCTATCTCAAATAAACTACATACCGAGAATCTTTCGAGCATCCCCCAAAATTTTCATGTTAAACTCAAATATAAGGAGTCTTTTTAACTTCTTAATTTAAGCCATATCACGAACCACTATAACAATATCATCCACATAAAGTAACAGATACACATGTGACCCATCAACACCTTTCTTATGATATATACAGCAATCACAAGGGCTTCTAGTACAACCATGACTCACCATAAAGCTGTCAAAACGTTTATACCACTATCTCAAAAATTGCTTTAACCCATAAAGAGAGTTCTTGAGCTTAAAAACATAGTTTTCTTTACCTTCAGCTACAAAATCCTCCAGTTGACTCATATAGATTTCCTCTTCAAGCTCACCATGTAAGAAAGCCGTTTTGACGTCCAATGTTCCAACTCCAAATTTGTTTGTGCTACTAGTGCCAACAACACTTGAATGGATGTATGACGCACCACCGGAAGAAAATTTCATTATAATCAACCCCTTGCTCTTGGCTATAACCTCTAGCCACCAAACGTGCCCTCTATCTCACACTTTCAGCTCCTGCCAGCCCCATCTTTCGCTTAAAGATCCACTTACACGTCACAACTGTTCTACCTTAAGGTACCTTTACTAACTCCCAAGTTCTATTCTTGTGAAGGGATTCCATCTCTCACTCATGGCTACGATCCACACATCAGCCTCCTTCGTTGTGATTGCTTCTTTGTAAGTAGATGGCTTAAAGAACTCCATTTCCTCAGCAACTTGCAGAGCATAGGCCACCATGTCATCAAAACCATATCGAAATGGCCTACCAATTTGTCTTCGGGGATTATCTAATGCTATAGATGGAAACTCTGCAGGCTGGTGCTGATTTTCAAGCACAACAGGTTCTGGTTGAGGTGAGTTACTGCGCTGTCCAGCAGTATTCTCGCCTTCATCGGGACCATTTAACTCGTACTCCACCAGTTCGGATAGGCATGGGAATGGGGCAGGGACCTCAATCCCCGTCCCCGTCCCCGTCCTCGATTACTTATCTTTATCCTCGTCCCCATCCCTGCCGGGGCATATAATGGCATCCCCATCCCCAACGGGGAAACGGGGATTTTTTTTCCCGTTTATGTAAGTAATTTTAAATTAAATATGTAAAAGACCATACATGTTTAAATCTCAAACATTTTCAATAAACCTAAAACCAAAATGAATTTAATCTAATACAAAAAAACCACAACATCATATAAGAACTAATAACCTAAAACAAAAAAAAAATCAATTTAATCCAAAAAAACTTAGAGTCACATGTACCAAAAGATATTGAGTAATATACAAAACTTATCGAGTAATTCTATTTTGACTTGACATCCAAAATATTACATATTAACATCCAAAAAATGACAATTTTAGATTATAAACCTAGTTAGAAAATAGAAAATTATGAAATACTACTTTAGTTGAAATAAGTAATATACATATATATATATACATATATATATATAATTTATTAATTAATATATATAACGGGTACAGAGCGGGGAGTACGATACCTAATCCCCGTCTCCACTTGAAGTTCATTGTCGATTAGGTCATCGATCTTTACAGAACCGTAATAAGTTGTGTTCTGAGTTTTCTTATTTACCTTCTCTACATTGTGAGCCTTGTCAGTTTGCCAAACATCAACTTATTCATTTAAGTCCTAGAGTCTGCAATAAGCGGGCCTCATCCCCATTTGAGTTAGTCCATTCTGATGTTTGGGGACCATGTCCTGTTACTTCAAAACTTGGGTTTAAGTATTTTGTCACGTTTGTTAATGACTACTCTCGCAATACTTGGCTTTACTTTATGAAAAATCGATCTGAGGTATTCACACATTTTTGTTCACTCTACGCTGAGATTAAAACCCAATTTAAAGTATCCTTCGAAGTGATAATGCAAAAGAATATTTTCCCCAAACATTTCAGTCATATATGATTCAAAATGGCATTCTCTATGAGTCTTCCTATGTTGACACATCAGCCCAAAATGGGTTACGGAACGAAATTATCATCATCTCCTAGAGGTGGCTCGGGCTCTATTATTTCACATGACTGTTCCTAAAGTCTTCTGGGCTGATGCGGTTACTACCGCTTGTTTTCTTATCAACCGAATGCCTTACGCTGTCTTGGATGGTAAAAGTCCTTTCTCAGTTTTGTTTCCTACAAAATCATTGTTTCTTGTCGACCCAAAGATCTTTGGCAGTTCCTGTTTTGTCCACGATATCCGACCTCACATAACTAAGTTGGATCCAAAGTCTCTAAAATGTGTCTTCTTGGTTACTCTCGACTTCAAAAAGGGTATAAGTGTTTTCCCTCATGCTTAATCGATACATTGTATCGATTAGACGTTACATTCCATGAGAATATACGCTTCTTTTCTATGTCCACCCCTTGCAACCCAAAAGATAGTGATGATTTATTGGTGTATATCATACCTGTTCTTGCGTCTACTAACCCATCCCACTCGACACAGACCCAAGAGCCTACTAAACCATCGATAATTCATGTATATAATAGACGGCAACGACCTACATCGAATCTCGACCCAACGCCATCTACATCATCATTTGCAGATCCGCCTAATGATGATCCTCTTGCTTCGAGTGATCCACCACCTTCCGATACACAAGTTCCTGATCTTGAAGTTCCCATTGCTCTTCAGAAAGGTAAGCGTTCATGTACTTACCCTATTTCTTCTGTTGTTTCTTATGATAAACTTTCTTCACGTTGTCGTTCTTTGATCTCTACACTTGATTCTTTATTTGTTCCTAAAACGGTTAGAGAAGCTTTGGCCCATCCTGGATGGCGGGATGTTATGATTAATGAGATGAATGCTCTCGATCATAATGATACATGGGATTTGGTAGAGTTACCTGCAGGCAAAAAGGCAATTGACTGTAATGGGTATTGACTGTGAAAGTTAATCAAGATGGATCTGTGGCTCGTCTGAAAGCCCGATTGGTAGCCAAAGGATATGCTCAGACTTATGGGGTCGACTACCACGAGACATTTTCTCATGTGGCTAAAGTACCCTTCAACTGTTTGTTTCATTAGTGGCCACTTATGACTGGGTAGTACACCAACTAGATGTGAAAAATGTCTTCTTGCATGCTGATTTGAATGAGGAAGTCTATATGGAGAAACCACCTAGGTTTGTTGCTCAGGTTGAGTCTGGTAGAGTCTGTAAATTGCGTAAATCATTGTACGATTTAAAGCAATCCCCTCGTGCTTGGTTTGGACAGTTTAATGTCGTAGTGACTATGTTCGGCTTACAGAGGACTCTTATGATCACTATGTGTTCTTTACTTCGTCATCTTCCGGATGTATTCTACTAGTGGTATACGTTGATGACATTGTGATTATTGGGAGTGATGAGACTGGGATCAAGAAGCTAAAAGATTTCCTTGCATCTCGGTTTCAAACAAATGACCTAGGTCCTTTAAAATACTTCTACTATTGCCTGAAGTGTGCAGTATTTTCGATTGTAGCTATTTAACAGTTTAGGAGATGAGGTATTTTGTTGTGTGTGGTTTGGTGGGATCTACATGAGTCGTTATCAATAGATCGGAAGAGCAAGCATGGTTCCTTAAGGTCACGTTCTGTTGGGGAGGTGTAGGGAGAAAGAGGATAAGGTAGGAGGAGAGTTGTAAACCTTAGGGTACAAATAGGTAGCTTAAATTTAGGAACCTTGTTGGCAAGTTTTCGAGCTAATGGATGTGCTAACGAAGGGTAAAGCTGACATTACTCGTATCCAAGAGACTAAGTGGATGGCAAAGTGGACTAAGTAGGGTAACAAGTACAATTTGTGGTAGCGCGAGAAATGGTGTCGCAGTCATGCTGCAAGGACAACATAGCGGAAGTGATGATGCAGTGACGAGAGCGGTAATAGTAATAGGGATGGTTAGTTATCGACGTATGTGCATGTTCACCGCAAGTAAGATTGGAGGAGCCAGAAAAGAAGAGATTTTCTTGCATGAGTTTTTAATAAAAAGGATTTGATTTTGAACTCTTGAGAACATAAACCCAACAAAATTAAATTATCTTTAAACATCATCATTACATTGCAAGACATTTTTACTCGAAAGAAATAGGAGAAGTGATTTGAAAAAAAAAAGTTGCCTTTAATACAAAGTGCTCACCGAATAAATCCGGACGTCCGGATTGTTTTTCTTGTATGTCCCATATTACCTTTTATCATATGCACATTTTTTTTCAAACAGCCAAAAAAGCAGCAACCTTTCAGAAAAGTTGGTGGCAGACTTCCGCATTGGTCCAGATATTTTGGCAATTTTTTTTAAATTGTATGCTTTGTCCAACAATTCAAAAAACTTTTGAAGCATTCAATACTCTCAAGTCACAATTTTCTCCAATTTCAAGCCATTCAACGCTTAAACATTTTCATCTGAGAGTCATTAATTATCACTTGTGTTTATTATAAATAATCTCCAATCTTGTAAGTGATTTTTTAGTGTGAAATCCATCTTGCCTCTTGCAAAAACAAAAAGAGTTTCATTTGTATCTTGTACCAAGGTTTAAGTTCTACAATAAGGAACTTCTTATAGTGGACCGGCATAAGTAAAGTAGCCAAGCTGGTTAACTGCTCTAAGTACCAGAATTTATTCTCTTCCCTTCACTTTACTTCCATGTTATTGTGTGTTTGTATTGGGAGAAAAAAAATTCTCAAACCTTGTGTTTAAAACGAAATTAAATCCCCCCCAAAAGGTTGTCTACCAATCCCCTACTTTTTTATTCATTCGTCCGAGGATTAAATCTCTACTGATGATGAAGCCAAAGACTAATAATAATCCAGCTAGAGGTTGTCCTAACAATAAAGATACTAATCATTATAATGATTATAACAATAAATGATAAAGAAAACAACAATAATCATAATGGTTATACAAAAGATACAACAATTAGTAATTATGCTAACCATACACAAACAGGGGTCGACCCAGTGGCAAAGCATGGACTTCTGCCTGGTGGCGAAGTATGAGGATTACATCTCTATTATGGCCACAAAATTCATAAGTTTGCCAAGGCCATGTGGAGGAGACAATTCGCATGAACACCAGATATTAGTTGGGATAAAGTGTCGAATAACTTTGTTATTCAAACAAAATATATTGTACTTAGACAAGAATCAAAATGTTGTTAAGATCATTACCCTGACAATAGCTATATTAAACCCCATTGGCCCAAAAAATCAAGACAACTCTAAGCAGTCCACCCTATATAAACAAAGGAGTGTATCACCTAAGGGTGATTGTTTCACACAATCAAAGAGAGCTCACAATTCTTTTTATTCAACCATCTAAAAATAATTTTTGAGGGTTATATCTCTATTTACAATCAAGCTAGATACTAACCATAATAATGCTATCTTAATAGAAATAGAATAAGCAATGATTATGTGACAATAAAACGAAAACCAAACGTAATCAAATAACATTATAGTGTATTCCAAAACGAAGTACAATAAATAAGTAGAACTGTTAAGCGAGTAAGTTCAGCATAGTCCTCATGAGTATCTTAACAGAATCATAAATAATCAGCGATTATGTGAACAATAATCAAATTATTGACAACATAATTATCCTGACAAGTAGACAAAGGCCACATAAAATCATGATAGAACTAAACCTTTACCCTCAACTTCTAAACCTTGTTAACTAAAATTCAGTTGCTAACATTGGTTCATATGTAGAATGATGACATAGTTGCTTTTAAAGGAAAATTGTTGATAATGTGCAACTATCACTTACATTGATTAACATTTACGGTGTAATATTTTCCATGGTCATGGCATTAAACCGTTATTAATTAGTACAATAGCCTCTTGAATATAATTCTCCATGCCAAATATTAGGTTCAAGTAGATCGAAAAGAATAATGCTATAGATCAAGGCATGTAACAAGGGGCTTACTAACCTTAGCTTTCCGCCTAACTTGCAAACATTGCATATACTTGTTCCCATCCTTGACACACCATTATCTTTTTCAAAAGATTCAGCAAGACCAGCTGCTTCACATGTCGTCCTATCCTAGTGCAAGCATTAAGAGGAGGAAATTTATATGACTCAACTACTATATTTTACAAATATTCTGCTAATTGCTAAATGTTGAATGTTGAATCATCTATCAATTTGGGGCAACTCTGGCACTAAATTGTAGATACAAAACAAATCATTAATTATTGGTACATGCAATAAGAATTGTGGTTTGTTACTAGTTTACATCTATAACAAAGACGACACAAAAACAGCATATCAAACGGTTGACCAACCTCGGAACTAGAGGTGTCACATAAGTCTGCGTTACATTTTGTGTCACAAGAGTTGAGTTTTTGCTGCTTCCCCGAACCATGGGCTTTCCTGCAGGATAAAATGATTATGGTAGGCAGCAGAATAGAACTCCTCTAGATATTAGAAAGTGATGGGAGATGAAATCACGGATAGAGCTAAAACCATGTACGAAGAGTATCACCAAGTGAACAAAAGCAGAGAACAAAGGACAGTGTTTAGACCAATGAAACTAGTGATAAATTCCATGAATGTATCCCTCAAGGACATGTACAAGAAGGTATTTGTTGACTCCTGTCAACATGGTAGTAATAGCCTAGCTCTGAGGTATCTGCTTTTTATGTGGTTATAGGTGCAATCTTGTCCCCTACTGTGTGCAACTTGGTCTGACCGGTTTGAGCTTATAGGCTTTAAACGATGAGCTAATAAAATTAATGGTTCGTACACAACAGGGGAAATTCTAGAGCACAACCGATGTTAGTTTCATAAAACATGACAAGGCTGTTGTCACGCTAATGTAGAGCGTAAAAGTCAACAATATTACTTAATCTGATATAACAAGAATGAACTAAAACGTCAAAACACTTTTAACCTACTATGCAAAGCAAAGTAAGCATCATATCGCAAGAAGAAATTAAAATACAACAAATGTAGTTCGATCGCTAGTGGAAACGATAAAAGGATTGTTCTTGCTTCACACTTTAACGGCCCATATTTAAATCTTAAACACTTTACCAGCCCACTTCAATTCAGTGCCACTTCACTCTTAACTGCCCTTTTTTGCCAATCACTAAATTGACAGCTCAACTGAATTTATATATAAATATGTGTGTGTAAATATGCGATTTCGTCGGTCAAACCGCCAAATGAAAAAGTTCAAACCACAAACCAGACCAAATCGCACTGCCAAAAACGATCCAGTTTTGTCTGGTTTCGACCTGTTTTCACGGTCCAACAGTTTTTTGCACACACAGCATTTTCTATTGAAGAATAAAAGGTAGCTCTATACACCCACACCCTAAAGGGTTCAAATGTGTGAACAGAGAACTACCGCAAGAATCTTGATCACTCGGATGATACAAAATTCACCTTCAATTACTTTGTGTCAGAAATTGTGGCTCACAAGTTAAATATCAAATTCGTGCACAAGCTAAATACGAAACTTACCTGCCTACCTAGTAAAACAATTTCCTAAAGACCGAGTTTCTTATCCCAAAGCCAACCTTCCTCCTTTACTTTAAATCCTTAATCCCTTATCCATACTCTCTAACTTATCATACATCTCCTTTAACATCACTTGCACGGTTGCACCCTCCTCAGAAACTTGTGTAAATGTTTCAAGCCTGCTATCATTGCAAATAGATCCAAATCGAATAGAAAATAGAAATGGATGGAAATCAGACTAATCAACAAACGTTTTTTTAAATACCTAGATGAAGTCCAAGATCTCCACCTTTTTTTGAACCAAAATCTTACATTATTTTCTTTCTTGTCAACAAATATCCAGAGGCAAGTATATACATCTCCATTAAAAATTGCATCAAGTTTCATTTTAGGATGTTCCGAACTAATTGTAATGTTTTCTTTTCAGAAAAAAATTAAGCTAAAAGGACTAGCGCCTTACATTTGGTTCTAGAAACAAGAACAAAAAGGTTTGACTCGATTATAAAAATCCACTTTGTCCCTTCATTCATTGTTGAGCTTTTATTTTACTTAAGAGTGTTGTGTAGAGATTTCCATCACTTGCACAGTTGTGCCCTCCAGAGAGACTTGCGTATCTGTTTCAAGCCTACTATCATCAACTATTGCAAACAGATCCAAAAGGAATAGAAATAGAAATGGATAGAAATCAGACAAATCAACAAACTTTTTTTTTTCTAAATCCCTAGACAAAATCCATAATCTCCATCTTTTTCTGAATCGAGATCATAAATTCTTCTCTCTTGTCAAGTCAAATCCAGAGGCAAATATATACACTCGCTCTCCCCCTAAATATTGCATCAAGTTTCATTCTGGGATGTCCCAAATTAATTGCAACATTTCCTTTTTCAGAAAAAGTTTAAGCTAAAAAGATTAGCGCCTTACTTTTGGTTTCTAGCAACAAGAACATCAAAAGTTTGAAATGATTAAAAAATTCATGTTGCTCATTCATTCATTGTTAAGCTTGTATTTTACTTCGAGTTTTGTGTAGAGATTTTCATCATTTTCAACTCTCAATAATGCATGTCAAATCACATACACGCTAGTGTAAATGTGTGTGTTACTGTTGTCTAAAAGTAATGTCGACTGGTGTGACTTTAGTTCTGGTAGACTTAGTTTGTTAGTCTGTTATTTTTCTTTTTGTTTAGCCAATAAATAAGTGGGGCTAATCATTTGTAAACTCAATTCATTTTTCTCATCTAATGAAATTATTTGCCTCACGCATCCAAAATTTTCTCAAGGATTTCCACTAATTTCCTAATAAATTGGTTTCAGACCATGTGATCAAAGACACGCTTCTGTTGGTTATGAATATTTTCGATTTTTGCTTCTGCTATTGATCAAGACACTGTTTTTTTAAATTGCTCCTTCCGATTGCAATCTTGGCAATCAATTGCGTCAATCTTGAAGTCCGATTCAAGGCAACTGGATTCAAGGTGGAGCAACATCAAAAATTGACGATCGATTGGTCTCTGAAATTTGCAATGACGATCGATTGAATAAGCAACATCTCAAATTGGTGATTGATTGGTCTCTTGAATTGAAATTGGCGATCGTTTAGGCCGGCATCTGAAATTGGCGATCCATTGGAAACTAGAAATTGAAATTGGTGATCAATTGGCCACTTGTGTTCTATTCTAGGTGGGGGACGACTAGAATTGGTCATCCTTTGGTGATCGAAAGCACTTGCCTCGATTCAATCAAGATTTTAGCGATGCCTCCACAAATGATCAAGATCGACAAGTTTACTCGGAAATATAATTTTAGCTTATGGCAAATTAAAATGAGAGCTCTCCTAAAACAAGAAGGAAATTGGACTCCCTTGGCTGTGAAAGACCTGCAAATATGGTTGATTCTAAGTTTAATCAACAAGATGGGAAGGCTCACAGCACCATCTTGTTGTCCTTGGCCAATGAAGTGATTTACGAGGTCACGGATGAGGAGACTGCCACATCTTTATGGATGAAACTTGAAAGTCTCTACATGACAAAGTCTTTAACAAACAAGTTATTGTTAAAGCAAAGGTTATTTTTGCTTCGAATGAAGGATGGGATGCCATTGAAGGAACATCTTGACGAGTTAAACTCCATTCTTATGGATTTAAAGAATGTTGAGGTCAAGGTTGAAAATGAGGATGTTGCCCTCATTTTATTGGTTTCATTGCCACCCTCATACGAAAATTTTGTCAACTGATTTGTAGTTGGAAGGGACTTACTTTGGAAGAAGTTCAATCAATTTTGCATTCACGAGAATTACGCCATAAAGCTTCCGAAAATGGAGCTGAAAGCCAATTTGTTGGCTTTTCAGTGGTAAATGAAGGTAAAGAAAAGGGTCAAGAGAAAGGTAAAGGCAAGTGGAAAGGAAGAGGTCGATCAAGATCTAAGGGTCGAGGATTGAAAGCAAGCCCGAAAGATGTATGTCATAAATGTGGTGATTTTGGACATTGGAAAAATGAATGTCCAAAACGAAACGAGAAGGCATCCGCTGCCGTTGATAAAGATGATTCGGTTCAAGGCTGATCTGGTTCTTTTAGTAGTCGACTCTAAAAGTCAACAAGATGAGTGGATTCTTAACTCCGGGTGTTCATTTCACATGACACCGAATAAGGCCTCGTTTGATACTTATGAAAAGGTTGCAACAGGAAGTGTTTTAATAGGGAACGACGTTCAGTGTAATGTTGCTGGAATAGGTTCGGTAAGTGTCAAGATGCACGACAGGGTAGTGAGAACTTTGGCTGATGTTCCTCACGTACCTAATTGGATAAACAATTTGGTTTCTTTGGGAGCCTTAGATTCCAAAGGTTTCAAGTATAGCTGTGAAAAAGGAGTACTTCGGGTCTCTAAAGGTGCATCAGTGGTGATGAAAGGAGTCAAGAAAGGTACCTTGTATGTGCTTGAAGGCAACACGGTTGTTGGGTCAACATCACCAGCCTTTAGTTCTGATAAAAACGGGTCATATTTGACACTCTTGTGGCACATGAGGATGGGGCATGTTAGTGAGAAAGGCATGCTCATGCTCAACAAGCAAGGACTTCTTGGAGGTTATAAAGTTGTTGAACTAGGCTTTTGTGAGCATTGTATCTTTGGAAAACAAAGGGGAGTGAGTTTTTCAAAGGTTGTCCATAATACCAAGTCTACTTTGGACTATCTACATGTTGATTGTTGGGGTCCTTCACAAGTTCTTCTCTTGGTGGTGGCCGTTATTTCCTCTCAATTGTTGACGATTACTCTAGGATGACTTGGGTGTTTATCATGAAACATAAGAGTGAGTCGTTTGAAAAAAAGTTTAAAGAATGGAAGGTTCTCATTGAAAATCAAGTTGGGAAGGAGATAAAGAGATTGCAAGGAATTTTGTTCAAATGAATTTGAACGGTTTTGTAAAGATGAAGGAATTGCAAGACACCGAACGGTTAGGCACACTCCACAGCAAAATGAAGTGACCGAAAGAATGAATAAACGCTACTAGAAAGAGTTAGATGTGTGTTGTCAAATGCAGAGTTGTTTAGAGGTTTTTGGGTTTAGGCGTTAAACACGGTTTGTTACTTAGTGAACAGGTCTCCGACAACTGCAATTGGTTGTAAAACTCCTATTGAAATGTGATCTGGTAAGCCAGTTGATTACACGAATTTACGGGTATCTAGTTGTCCTTCGTACTACCATATGAGTGAAGGAAAGTTGGAACCAAGGTCAAAGAAGGGGTTGTTTATGGGATATGGTGCTGGAGTAAAAGGGTATAGAATCTAGTCATTTGATGAAAGGAAGGTGATTCTCATCCGTGATGTAATATTTGATGAAGGAAGTATGTTGTGTGACGTACAGTATTCATCTACTTCAAAAGACCAGGAGGAGAGGATCTCCGAACAAGTGGAACTTGAGTTAAATGATTCTGATGAGGGTGAAAATGTTTCTGAACAGCGCAGTAACATGACTAAAACAGGCCCTGTTGAGTCCAAAAGTCAGCACCAGCCTATGGAATTTCGGTCCATAGCATTAGACAAGCCTCGAAGACAAGTTGGTAGGCCGAATCAGTATGGTTTTGATGACGTTGTGGCCTATGCATTAAAAGTTACTGAAGAATTGGAGTTCTTTGAACCGTCTACTTATAGAGAAGCAATCACAACAAAGGAGGTTGATGTGTGGATAGCAGCCATGAGTGAAGAAATGAAGAAATGTTGTCCCTTCACAAAAATAGGACTTAGGACTTGGTAAATTACCTCAAGGCAGAAAAGTTGTGACCTGTAAGTGGATTTTTAAGCGGAAAGAAGAGCTGCCAGGAGCTGAAAATGTGAGATTTAAGGCTCGTTTGGTGGCTAGAGATTATAGCCAAGAGCAAGGGGTTGATCACAATGAAATCTTTTCACCGGTGGTGCGTCATACATCCATTCGAGTGTTGTTGGCACTAATAGCACAACAAAATTTGGAGTTGGAACGGTTGGATGTTAAAACAGCGTTTTTGCATGGAGATCTTGAAGAAGAAATTTATATGAGTCAACCAGAGGGATTTGTGGTTCAAGAAAAGAAAGATTGTGTTTGTAACCTCAAGAAATCACTTTACGGGTTGAAGCAATCTCCGAGGCAGTGATATAAGCGATTTGACAGCTTTATGGTGAAACATGGTTTTAATCGAATCCCTTATGATTGTTGCATATATCATAAGTAGTTGATGGTTCACGTGTGTATTTGCTACTTTATGTGGATGATATGTTGGTACCAGCTCGAGATAAGACTGAAATTAAGAGGTTGAAACAACTCCTTAATTCTGAGTTTGATATGAAAGATTTGGGGGCTGCTCAAAAGACACTTGAGATGGAAAGAGTTGGCAATTGCTGAATGGTTAGGTGCAGAATGATTAAGTGGTCAGAATGATTAAGAGACTCATGATATAGTGCAAAATGAAATATAATTGTTTGGTAATTGTTTACAATGAAATTAGAGTGCTGAATGGTTAAGGGAGGCCTAGGATACAAAATTATTCAGAGTGTTTTAGAACCATTAAGAGGCAAACTTTTTTTTTTGCCAAACAAAATTCACCTCTTAAAGATTCAGAAGTTGCCTCTTAATGGAACTATTAAGAGGTAAACAAACAACCCCTAGACATAAACTTTTCTTGTCACAAAAAAGTTACATTTTGAAGATACTTTTTCGGTTTGGTATGGCTTCGGCAAAGCCTTTGAGCACTCCATTATCTGCAAGTTTCAGGTTGTCAGTGGCTTTGGCTCCTCAAACAGAAGCTGAAGTGGAGTATATGAGCAGATTTCCTTATTCAAGTATTATGGGAAGTCTTATGTATGTTATGGTCTGCAGTAGGCCTGACATAGCTCATGCCATTAGTGTCATTTCGCGCTATATGGCTTGTCCAGGAAAGGAACATTAGGCTGTTGTGAAACGTATTTTTCGGTATCTTAAAGGTTCAGTTAATGTGGGTCTCATTTATGGAGGAAAAGGAGACAGCTTTGTTGCTCGGTATACAGACTCGGATTATGCAGCTGACCTTGACAATCAAAGATCATTAACGGGTTATGTGTTCACTGTTGGAGATGCCTTAGTAAGCTGGAAAGCAGCGTTACAGCCATCAGTTGCTTTATCCTCAACAGAGGCTAAATATATGGCACTTACAGAGACTGCCAAGGGTTTCATCAAGATCAAGCTGTGATTTTATGTGACAATTTAAGTGCTATTTGGCTTGCGAAAGATCAGGTGCATCATGAAAGAACGAAACACATAGACGTTCGTTATCATTTCATACGGTCAGAAAGAAGAGTTAAAGTGAAGACCGATGACAACCCAGCTGATGCACTTACTAAACCTCTTCCTTTAAACAAGTTCAGACATTGTTTAGATCTCCTAAACATTGATAACTAGAAGTAGATTTCTTTTTGTAGAATTAAAGTCAAGGTGGAGATTTGTTGAGTGGTGTGACTTTAGTTCTGGTAGACATAGTTTTGTTAGTCTGTTATTTTTCTTTCTGTTTAGCCTGTAAATAAGTGGGGCTAATCATTTGTAAAACTCGGTTCATTTTTCTCATCTAATGAAATTCTCTACCTCATGCATCCAAAATTTTCTCAAAGATTTCCAGTAATTTCCTAACAAGTAATTAATACAACAAAAAGCTTGTAAGCACATACGGCATGCTAGAGATCTATATGAAATGTTGCAATGTTGTGGAACACAAAAAGGCACCCTAAGAAAGACAACATCCATTTTTGCGTTAGTTCCCCTCCCAGATTCCCCCTGTCTCCTTAGCTCAGGCCCTATCCCTAACAATCTGTAGGATAATTAACTTTAAAAGTGGTTATCAGATATCCACGCCAACCAAACATGTTTCTGTTGATAGTAGCTAAATGTTGTACACTATATAGTACTATAGTAAATGAACTTAGAAAGTAATTCCCTCTTTCAGATGAATACCTTACTATATTGTGACAGATACAAACTGCTGCAGCTACAGAAGAAAGAAGTCCAAGAAGCCCAATTTTTCTCATAAAATCGCATGCTCACAAATCACAAGTGGTAAGATGAGCATGGGAATTGCAAATAGTAGCTCTTATCTTGTATAATAGTTTCCATACTCATAATAAGCAAGATAAAAGAATATGTCTTTGAAGGCACAACAGAAATGGCAAAGATACTGAAGAGGCCATCGGACAAGACAACCAAATATATAAACTTAATAGCATAAACCAACATGAAGATCATAAAAGAAGCAATAATAGCTTTTGCACCAAGAAAGAACCTAGAATGATATATGAAATGGGCAATTGGCTCGGTCTACAAAGATTTGAGTACTTGCTAAAAAGGTCTACAAACTCTCTGAAGCAAGATAATTACGGGGTAAAGTTCTCAATCGGTATCTTGTGAGAAACAACACATAGCTTTGGGCTTAAATCCAACTCTCGTTTACTTTAAAATATTTCACCCCTAGGAAAAACCAACTCAATAAGCTTTTAACATACTGTAAGAAACATCATTTGGTGGTGTAGTAAGATTAATATCTGACTTAAAGAAAGAGATAGAAATATGACGAAATATGGCAAGTATTAATACCTTTGCTTCTTTGAGCATGCAAGGCAAGTTTCCTTATGCCCATGCCTCTTACACCTGGATGATGGTGACCTAGGAGAGATTGGATGATTTTTGGTATTTCTACAAGTATCAGGATCTGTCTTTCTTGCCGATGTCTCTATGTTAGATGATGTGCTTGTGCCACTGATTAGTGCCTCAGTGCCACTTTCAACAGACTTGCCATCGAGGGATTTTCTTGAAGGACAACCAACATTCCCTACTTGTCCTAAATCCATGGAACCCTCATCCAATGATTCTTGTACAGCATGATGAGGAATGCCTTCAACTCCTCTGCTATTTAGTGAGGCTTTATGGCCTTTTGCAGAGCTGATATTCCAGCTGAGATCAGCTTCTTTTACTTCAGCATCATCATTTACTTCTTCTACATCAAAATTACTTAGACCAGAATCTGTTGTCATGCATCCTCTTTTAAAGGTTATCAGAGTAGGGTCTTCTTCGGACCTATCACTACATTCCTCACCACCATCATCTTCATCTTCCACGGACTTGGAGCCACTACATTCGTTCTTGCAGTTATCAAGCCGAAGTAATTTATCTGGTCTTTTCAGCTTCATATCCACATCTACACACATAATGATCCACTTAGTTAGAGCAACCACTGCAGGAAATGCACTTGCATCTAGTAATAGTATCTTTTCATAATCCTTTTCCTGAATTTAGAAAAAATAAAAAAGAAACACTTTTCCCCTTTTGATTGTATTTAATCCACCCCTTCGATTGATTGTATAGCATCTCAAAATACCCAATGCAAAAAAACTTCCCCTCACTTTTTTTATCAAAAAATCAAATGTACAATTTCATTCAAAAAAGCCAATTTTCATGACAAACGGGAATCGTTAACTTTTCGTCGACTGAGAATCTAAAATCCGGTTTAATAAAACAAATATATCACAATTTTGAAACTCTTGGTTAGAAAACAGTACCGCTGTTGCTGCTGGAATTAGCTTCAGACGCCTTATCTTGACTTTCTTTATCGTTATCATCACCTACATGCCAGCAAACATGAGTGTACAACAGCAAAAATTAATAACAAATACTTATAAAAGAGATCGCTACTGAAACAAAATAAAATGTGCAAACTGAGACCAATAATAAATTTGAAAACCAAAGCTTGCCAGAGGTGACATCCTCTTTCCACAAAGATAAATGTGAAAACCACAAACATGCCGGTTGACATAGGACAGATTTGGTGTCAGACGTCACTGTTAATAGCAGGGCAGGATTTTTCTCTTTGTAAGTTAGCAACAGAGTATTTAGCTTTAAGAATATTTAAAAAGGGAAAGCTACATTTACAACATAGATGTTCATTTGCAAAATTGAACTGTAGATAACTTTTGGTAACAACAAAGTACTGTAGTTAAATAATGAATGCCGAATTAAATTGGTGGCCAATAAGATAAGAGACCAGATGTTCACCCACCTGCTTCAGTTTTTATTCGTTTAAGTTTAGATAAAGCCTTATTAACAGAAGTAGCCACTCTCTTCCTTTTCCTACCACCCACGTCCAAACCATGATTTTCTTGTGTATGATCTTCGCTAGCATCCATCACACACCGCTTCAAACTCCTTCCAACTTTGTCCTTCTTCGACTTTATATTTGATGAAGCAGGCTCTTCAACAATCTTCTTGGATTCCAAAGAACCTAATGAAGTGTGCTTCTTGCGTCTATCATACCTCTTTAAAGGAGTTGTTATCGTCTGTTTCTGAGTTCTCTCTGATTTCTCCTTAATTGGAGGAGTGGCTGATGGGTTCTGCTTCTCCAGTCGTTTAGACTTGCGAGTACTAGTGGGATTTTCTTTTGTCTGTTTCCTTGATGATGTTTCTCTGGATGACCTTCTTGAGCTAGAAGCATCACTTGATCGCAATATTGAAGCAGAAGATGCATCTTGTTTTACCATTTTCTTCTTTGGCTTGATACTTTCATCAGTCTTAACTCTGTTACTACGTCGGTTATCATTTGCCATCCTGGCAACTGCAAAGAAGTGGTAGCTCAACCTTACACAGTAGTATAAACAGAAAAACATTAGGCAAAAACCAGAAGAGAGATTGCACAAGCAGAGAGAAAAGTCAACCCAAATTAGAGACGGCCATCATTCTTTAAGAATCAAATAGAAGGTAACATCTTCCAACTCACCACCTGAAGATGCAAGTCTCTTATTCTAAATTTCACGAAGAAGATTCCTACTTGCACTTTTAATCACTAGCATAAAAAACAACAGACAAGGGTGGTGCCTGGTTGGTTTAAGCTTGGCTTCAAAGGTCAAAAGTACCTGGAGGTCCCAGGTTCAAATCCAAGGAGGAATGAAAATCCCCTTGTGACCATGGAGGTTCAAATGCGGTGACTCCAGGCTATGTGCAAAGTAGGTGGTTGCCCTGGGATTAGTCGGCTCGCATAGCGGGTTGGATATCCAGGTTAGTAAAAAAAAACAGACAAACTGAACAACCAGGCTGCACCTATCTAAAAATTCAGCAGACTATCCCAGTTCACCCATGGCACATAGTCCGTTACATATTACAAAAAGACAACAATGTGATATTCGTGCAAGAAAACCCCTAGCACTGTGTCACGTGTAGAACAATAGCAGCAGTGACGGAGGGGGAAGGGGTTGGCAGGTCACAGGTGTACTACCCCTCCAATTTTTGTATTAATTGTAAAAAATTGCAACAAAATCATAAATCATAACCCAAAAAGATTAAGAATTTGTGGCCATTGCATAAATTTATCGCCCTAACACTTCCGAAAATCTACAGACCAACTTACTCTAATTTCTTGTCATCATAATTGATAATCAAAAACAAATTATCAACGCGTATAAGAGTATGAACTCCACCAAATCAGCATTTTATCCACAAATTTATATGTCAAAACAAAATCTAAAACAATATTTAAACAGTAATAACCTAGATCCAACGAGAAATATAAGATTATACATCAAGATTTCAACGATGAGAGACAAAACCGCGTTCATTAGATTAGGGTTTTACACGTCCATGCATGCAATGACTGTTTGTTCAACTCACCTGAAGAATTTGCGGGCAAACAAACATAGAATAATCTCCGACGGAAGTATAAACGAAGGCGTAAATACAGGCGGAGTATATACAAACACAACTTCCCGGCGAGGTTCTTGATGTTCCCGCTTATAAAGAAAGGCTGCTTTTAATTGGGGAAAGACCACACTAGCTTGCTTTATTAAAAGACGGATTTACCCCTGCCCTTCCCCAATCCTTTTGAAAATTAGGACATTACCAAAGAAATTGCGTAAAGGAATTACATTAAGGGTGCGTTTGGTTTGCAGAAATGTTTATGAGGGATTTGGATTTCCATGAAGGATTTGGATTGGATTGGATTTAAAATCCATTCGTGTATTTGGTTTGCAGGATTTGGATTGAGATTTTTTTTTCTTTTGTAATTATTTTAGTCATCAAATCTCTTTCATTTCTCAAAACTACCTATTTAACCATCAAAGCTATTAATCCAACATAACTGACTGAAAGTTATTAACAACAAATTCATCAAGAATAATTCTAATGAACTGGCCATTTACAAAGCTTAAATTCAAGTCGATATGGGATCTTTTCATCATAACCAGGATTGAAGATTAGGTATGAAATAATGAGCAGTCAAGTGAAACAGTGAAGATTATGTATGAAACAATGAAGCAATCGAGTGAAACAGTGAAGCAGTCAAGCTAAAATTGAATAAATCAAACACGTCTTTCAATCAATTTCAAGAACTAAATCAAGAAAGAGCATCAATTTCCAGAACCACAAAAGCATTAGAACCACGACGATGGAGGAGAGGATTGAAGAAAAGAGACGCACCTTGGGAGAAAGCGACGGAGACGGAGACGACCACCGTGATAGAAAGCGACGGAGACGGGACGACCACCATGGGAGAAAGCGACAGAGACGGCGATGGAGGAGGCAACGGAGACGGTGAATGATGAAAATGAAGGAGGCGATGGAGACGGTGAAGGATGAAAATGGAAGAGGCGATGGAGACGGTAAGTTAGGGCAAAACAAAATCCCAAGATGGTGATGGAGGAGGCGACAGAGACGGTGAGTAGAGAGGATGACAACTATGGTATCGGTGATAAGGACGAGGGAGGAGGGGCATTGATGGCGTCGATTTTGTTCAGGGTTCAGTGAGCATCACTGCTAAATTAGGGCAAGAAGAGAAATCCGACCATACCTGGATTTGAAATACCACCCATTTCCAAAGGATTTACAAATCCATCATTTAAGGGATTTCAAATGAATCATTTGATTTCAAATCCTCACAATCCAGCAAACCAAACACTGGATTGAAATGGATTTCAAATCCAAATCCCCCCAATTTCATTCCATTCATGCAAACCAAACGCACCCTAAAGGGTGTTTGGTTCATGGAATTTCGTGAAATTGGAATGTCCAAATCTTTGACCAAATTCCAAATCTCATGTTTGGTTCATATAATAGACGTGAATGAATCATTCCAATTCCATCAAATTCCTTAATTTATTGATTTCACAATTCCACAGCATATACCACGGATTTCAAATTCCAATCCGAAAAATTCCTTAGCCCTCATCCATTCATCGAAGTTGTATCTCGATTTGCTCTGTTCTGCTATGCTCAATCTCCTTTGCTCAATCTCGTTTAAAACTAATAATGACAACAGGCCAGGTTTGGGCCGGTTATTGGTATCTCCGTCCCATAAACCTATAACTAAAATCGTCCCCATGACCGCCCTGATCCCGTCGGGGATCTTATCAGGTCTCGCGGTTTCCCTGATCCCCGTTGGGGAATTCGTGAATGTAAAAATCCTCTTTTTCCCGTTCACCGTTGGTTGTAACCGAAACCGAAACCCGAAACAGATCTAAAAATCCCCGTTAAAATTCTCGAATTTAATATTATATATATATATATATTAAAATTAATATATATACACATATCAAGCCGGGTCGGGCCGATGATCACCGTCCCGGCCCCGTCCCCGTTAAAATACCTGAATTTGTCCCTGATCCCTGCCCCGTCCCCGATAAGATGTCCCCAAAACCCAGCCCGAAAGTTTCGGTTTCAGTTTTTTTTTGCCTGTAATTTTCTTGTTGAATTTCGTGAACGAAACAAAAAAATTCCAATTCGGTTAAGAATTTCATTTCAATTCCATTCAACCAAACGCAATCAAAAGACATGGTCAAATTCCATCAAATTTCATTTTATTCCCTCAAAGTCAAATTCATTTGATGGATTCCAATTCCATTGAATTCCATTATACGAACCAAACTCCCCATAAATTTATTTTTATTTTATATAGTCTTATCTATACTATCTTATAAACCAAATTTATCAAAAAATTTAAAAACAATTTTTAATACACAAAATCTTAAAAACAACTCATAATGCATTAAGTGCTAATATTTTATGCATTCACTTTTAAAATCTTTTAAACTACAATTAAAATAACATATGGTACAAATTACCAATGCACATTATTACATTTTTTTTTCATGTTCTTAATATATTTTTGACATGTTCACTCATGCATTCACTCTCTCATACCTCTATGTCGTCTTCTCATCCCCAAATATGAGATTCAAAATTAAATTCATCATGAGTTATTAAAAGTTCTCTCGTTAATCTCTCATTCAATTGCTCTATAACTCTCGTTCTCGATCTTTTGATTCTTTGCCCTTGGTGTAAATCGAACACATTTGTGGAGTCGTTTAAATACGTTGGATTTTAAACTGTCATACAGTTTTTTCCATCGATAAACTATAATTGAAACTACAACTCTTATTTATTCAAATTGTATTGATATGTAAAGACCAATTGTAACTTGTATCATCGTTAAAATCTTTTCTAATAAAACCAGTGACACTTCAAAATCGTTAAAATTTACGGCTCCCGTCGCATTGCGCGGATACACAACTAGTTTAGACAAAAAGTCTTTTGTCCATAATCCAACCACGTTCTACATAAAATTCCGTCTTTAAAGACTAATATAGTGGAAGCATTAGGGATCACACCCATAACATGTCTTATATTTGACCAAAGTCATTACACTTCTTTGTCAACTGAATTAAGTTGCACACGAGAGGTTTCCTTATATAGAAAACCATGATTTTTCTATTTAAGAAAACATAGTAAAAACGGTTTTATTTTATTCCACTTTAAACGTGTATTCTTTTTGTGATACGATTTCTTAAAACATTTATTCCTCTTCATGATTACATCGTGGTTCAGCAATAAAGGGAAGACAAACACATAGTTCTGTTCGTTGTACTATATTGTTTAACTTCGTACTAATATCTATATTGTAATGTATTACCTATTGCGCATATTATGTCCATTAATATAGAAAAAAATCATTAAATAATCTATTAAGACAGCTGAAGCTCATAAGGGTGCGTTTGGTACATGGGACATGATGGACGAAAGAAAATTAATTGTCCCACGCTTGACAAGGTATAGGACATGACAATAACGCATTGTTCCACGTTTGGCGCGACATGGGACAGAGACAAAGTAGGAAAGCGTGGGACAAGATGGGACAAATGTATGATATAAACTAAATATTGTTAATTAACCCCCATTTGATATATAACTTTAATATTATATTTCTTTTATTGGTCAACACCGTTAGTCGCGGATGTCGCCACCACCGTCGACCACCTCCACCTCCTTTTCCACTACAACAACCCCCTCCACAATCAAATTCGACCACTAACCCCCACATCTATCGCCACCTCCACAACCACCGTCGCGCCCAACAACCACCACATTGAACCACCTGCACCTCCTCCTGTACTACAACAACCTCCTCCATTTGTCTAAATTTGTCATGTTCAACCTTAATCGTACAAAACACCAGACACACATTTGTTCTGTCCAATCCAACCATTTGTGCATACCAAAACTATACCCAACATACATATTTTGTTACAGTAACGTTTTTTGAATATTTATTGAACAGAAAGACAATGTTACCATAAAAAATGTAGAAAACTATGCATTTGTTTTAAGTTTTTTCTAATAACGTCAAAGGAATGTAAAACAAAACAACATCAAACAACCATTTATAGTAAAGTTCCAGATTCTATCAAGCAAGATGACTTATTACGTATTTTTTAAGATCCGGATACGTTTGAAGAATCATACGATAATTATATTAAATACTATTAATGTTCACATATATAATTTTCAAATATTTATTAGTATTTTAAGAAAAAAGCTGCATAATAAAACATCAAAGAGTTGAAAATGTTGATATAGAAGTTATAAAACTAAATGCAAATGTTATAACGGGCTCATTTAGGAGTGGTTTGAAATTGGTTTAACTTAGATTGTCTATTTTCCATTTAGAAAATCTATTGAGATGCTCTGAATAACCAAAAATCACACGTGACCTTCCAATTTGCAAAAGCTAAACGTGAAATCAATTGCCCGGACATATTGTATTGTATTTCGCATCATTTGGAAGTCCTTCGAGCTCGTCGTATTATACATATATCCATACTTTATATATAACTTCTTTGTATGTATTTTAAAATTGAGTAAATTATGTTTTATATCTCTATGGATTTTTAAAAGTCACGACTTTTGTCCCTACGATTAAAAGTCATCATACTTCACTTACTTTATCAAGTAACATTCTCGATCATTCAAACGAATTGTTGGCGTCTTCTACGAGGAAAAAAGCTAACTAGGCAGAAATTTTATTTCTCAATTATTGGATAAAATTATTGGTCATTGCCATACTTATCCGGTGACGTAAACAACACTTGATAAATGCTTACTCGCTAAGAGTCAAACTCAAACGGCTCAAAACCAAGAGTACCCATTGACATAATAAAAAACACAAGAATAGTCAATCAATTTTGGTACCATACATGCTATAAGAGGAATTGTTGCCAAATTTGGAATTCAAAGATTAGGGTTTTGGAAGGGAACTTCCATCTTTAGTAAGTACAAAGCATAAAGAAACCTCACCTCCCAATTCGTTTGGTTTTTCTAACCATTAATTGGAAACAAAAAATAGTGTTTACCATCTTCCAACCGTATCCCTTTCTATCTTTCTTCTACTGCCACTTTTTCTTTTCTTATTGCAATGGCTGACTAAAACCTAACCCACAAAATCATGAATCAACTGACCTCCAAAATGTTGCTGTAACTGTTGAACATTCTCAGCATTCTGTCTGAGACCCAAAGTAAGTGAAACCGGACCCAACCCACTTGCATCGAACGTGGCTCGAGGGTAGGGCAGAATGCTCATCAGTCGGTCCATGCTGGCTAGAGGAATCTGGTACTCGGGCCTAGCCAACTTCTCGTGGTCCTGTAGTTGTTGGTCATTCGGTTCGTCTCCTGTTAAGGCCGTCTGAGGGTTTCTTGAACATGATTGTTCTGGTGGTTGCATGTTAGAAAACGAGCTCATGTCCATCCGGCTAGAGTCTTGACCGGCCGGTGGAGGGTTGGTGGAGTTTGGTTCAGCTAAGCCTTTGGTTTCGAGGGTGTGGATTTCTTCAACCATTGGTTTCCAAATACGAACTCTTGCATTTATGAACCAGTTCGAGACCTGATCATTCAACAATATTTAGCAAATATCATTTACTTTCTTTGACTTTTTTGCATTAGTAGGTGACAATGAGCGACCATTTTTCTCCAAAAAAAGTCAAATTCTTTTATTAAACGTCTAAACAAACTAAAAGAATAGCATAAACAAGACTTTCAACAATTTTCAGTAGGGTGTAAATCATGCGAGTAGAGTATAGTAACCTAATTTTCAAGCTCGAAATCGACTCAAAAACATGCGATAGTAAAAAACAAAGCTCGACTCAAACTCGATAACTATTTTTCAAGTTTGAACTCGAACTTCAATCAAGCTCGAACTCAACTCAAATCAAGCTTGAACTCGACCTCGAACTCGGATCGAGCTTGAACCAAGCTCACCCATTGAAATTTATGAAAATTTAGGGCCTTACTCTTATAAATTTTAAAACTTGGACGTGTTCACTTAGTTTTTATAAACTAAAGAGTTCAACTTCAAACTTCATCATCAAAAAGACAAAGTTAGAAATTTCGTTCAACTCCTTCTCTTTTTATAACATCTTTTCTCCATTCTTTTACCATCTCTCTTCCAATAAGGGACAATTTCACTAACCCTTTTTTATAGTTTTTCTTTGTCTTTTCTTAATTATGATTTTAATAAAAAATAATAGATTAATTTTTATAATAAAAAATGTACAATTTTGTTTAAATATTAAAAAAATATAAGACATTTTTATTATTTATATTTTACAAATTTTATCATAAAAACTTATTATATTTTAAAACTAATTGTATATAACATAATCGAGTATCTCACGAGCTTTTCGAGTCGAGTGTATTGGGTAGTTGAAATCAACTCGTTAGTATGTTGAGTCAAGTTCGAGTTCGAGTTCGAGCCAAGCCTATTCAAGTCGAGTGTTGACTGAGCTTTGACCGAGTCGATCTCGAGAAGTTCGCAAGTTATCTCGTATTGTTTACACCCCTATTTAATTCAAGTTCAATACTCTTTCACAACTTCATCACTGAAGGTATATCATGGAAGACTATACAAATGAAACTTCAAACGATATCATTATACGAGAACACGTTTGAAATAAATCACCATTACATGTGATTAAAGTATGGCGATGAAATGGGGGCGGGAGACTTGGCCCACAACCTTGAAAGGTCGGTGGTGTCAATCAATCCATAGTGTCTTCATCACATGTGATGGTTGTATGTTTCAAATTATTCTTGCATTCTTTTAAATGGTACCGTTTCGGTGAGAATAAAAGTTATGGTGAGAACTCGTGTCCAAAACTTTCATACACCTTCAACTATCTTTATTTACCTATTATTACTATCATAACCAAAACTTTAACAAATTTACGAGCGTGAAATTGATTTAATATATGTAAAAGTTCGTGAAAGTGGGTTAAAATGAATATAAATGAGAAGACACAAATAGTTAGAAGGTAAATGAAGTTAGATCAAAAATTCAACTCATCCAAAAGTTTATTATGGTTCACACTATTCTCAAAATAACTCTTAGAGTTAGTTTGGTTTGCAAGAATGTTTTATAGGGATTTGAATTTTGAATTGGAATGGATTTGAAATCATTGGTGTGTTTAGTTTGTAGGATCTGGAATGTAATTGGATTTTATAATTTATAAAAATAATTAAATTACATTTTTTATAGATTATTAAACAACTAATGTTCTTAACATTTTCTAAAACCTTATTTCATACAATCCTACGAAATTCTGTAAAATCTCAAATATCCCCAAAGGATTTCAAAATCCTATGGTTGTAGGATTTCAAAATTTTATGTTTGTAGGATTTCAAATCCGGACCCAGTCAACCAAACATGGAATGGAAATCGATTTGAAATCCAAATCTCCCTAAATCCATTTCATTCTTGCAAACTAAACGGGACCTTATTCTCATAGAGAGAGAGGGGCCGGCAAAGGGAGTTCAAACGAGATTAGGGACCAGATAAAAGAATAGAATAGTAACCAAATAAAAGAACAAGAAAAAGACAAAGCACGTGATTTTACACTAACTGTCAATGCAAGGGTGTGCGGACGACGTGGCCCGCGACACAGGTCGTGGTCAAAGTTGCATGAATCACATGTGACCATATACGTAAATTAGTGTAAAGTCATATGTGATTTAAATGTTTTATTATTCTTATCGAGTTACTGTTCTCGTATGAACCTGAATCTCCAATTATATCTAGCAAGAGTGTTGTTTGACCATCAAAAGTCAAGATTGCTAACCTGATTTCTGGTTAAACCAGTTTGTGTAGCCAACATATGCTTGTCTGCGTYCGAAGGATACCTTCACGTACAATCAAACTTCCATGTCAACTTCATAACGATGGTAATTGGTTTTTCAGTCATACCATACTGAACCACCATTTGTAACAAAACATCATTCATACATTAATTAATATAGTGATAAAGAGGAAAAAGGACTCACGGATGAAGAAAATGATCGAAAAGCCACGTTTTAAGAACAGCAATAGCTCGTTCCGGAAGCCCTCTCTGCGGCCTCCATACAGGTTGCGGCGATGTAAAGAATCCAGCAGCACCACCAACACCACCTCCGGATTTACTAAGCCTCTGATCGATTGATTTTAGCCTAGAGGTACTTGTTGCATTAGCATCAAACACTTTACTACTCGTGGTCGTCGAAGAACTCAACCCCTCTCCCACCATTTTCCTTATTTGCAACAGTTGCTCGGAAATGACTGTCTTTACAAAGTGAAAATGCCGTGAGATCGCCTTGAGAGCCAAGCAAACGTAAGGAGTGGCCGCGCCAAGCCCGGCCACAGTCTCAAAAGATGAAACCACCATCTGCATTTGCTGCAAATACTGTTTGTACCTCCTGCATACCTTGTGAAACCAAAAAAAAAACCACAAAATAAAGAAACGAAGAAAACATACCACGAAAAGCGACAACGCATCTGCTGTCGCAATAACTTTCTGGTAGGAAAAAACACCAAGTGGAGTCTACATGGCCCGTCACGAAAAGTTTGATGGGAAGTGAAGAACAATCATGGCGAGGGTTGTTTGAAACTTTATTAGTAACAAAAGAGTGGGGTAACTACAGTTCAAGTTTCTTTAATCTGTCCCCTAATTGCAAGATGTGATTGGATTCTAATCTTTCGTACCAGTTTTTGAGCGCAAAAAACTATCATTTTTATAGAAATAACGGTTTTGACAAATTGTGAAATATCAAACTCTTCCGGTAAGCATTTTTGTGTGTGTCACTTGTTAAAGAAACCTCTTGTCTGATAGAAGTTCATCGATAATCCATTTTGATGGACAAAAACTGTCTGGATTAAGTGCGGTGTAGATTTGATAAAAAGGCCCCTTACTGTTCGAAAATAAACAACAATTGAGAAGAGAAATGTATGTGTAGCCTACCTCCTCCTGCATATATAACAACCTAGCCTTCTTCCGATGAAACTCCGGCTGGAGAGATTCAGCACCGGAGGTGCTATGTTCGTTGGAACCACCAGAAGCCCTACTCATTTCTTCTTCAAGAATTTTCTGAGAGAAAACATCATGACATGTTTGAAGCAACTCCTGATCCCCTACCTCACAATTCACATTCAACAGTTCTTGTGCAGGTTTTAAATACTTGGAATTCTTCAGGATTGTTGCATAGCCGGTGAACGGACCCAGTGGCCCGGCATTCCGGTGAGCAAAAGATGAAACACCCATGAAACATTTGAGATCCGAATTGGGTAAAAGGTCCGACTTTAGAGGCCTTTCACCCGGTTGTAGAGTGAGTAGATCATCTTTAGGTTGTGGAACTGATGAAAGTGATAAACACAAAGCTTGGGTGTTGCAGTTACCCTCGTTTGCAGCCATTGTTGTTGCTGTTGTCATTTGTTCTCTATGATCATGAATTCGATTTGCTAAATAACTTGATTCATCAGAATTGTTCATCCAATACGGAATTGACTGATTCATCCCTGAATCATTCTTGCCTTGATGAGGTTGTGCAAGAGTGACCTGATCTTCGGGAAGGATGGAATGATAAAACGGCGAAGAACTGAACGCCGGGACATTTTGCACATCTTGATGGTAGCCATAGCCGCCTGAATTCAAGCTCCTATGATCAATATTCATCGAACCAGTATTCGAATAACTCACAAGATTCCAATGATCATTACCAACTTGTTGAGATGAAACAACAGTTTTCCAATTGTTAGAGTCGTTCGGCAAATTAGCAAAAGTACCACCATTAGAACCAGCTAAAATCCTTTGATCAGGCTGCGAAGAACCCATACCGGAACCGGAATCTGAACCTGGAAAAGAATCTTGATCAACGGATACAAAACCATGGCCGAGAGGTAACAAAAGATGTGGATTTCTAGGAACGGAATTGAGCATTTCAGAAGGGTATACATTGGGGTTGTATGAAAAGGGTCGATGGATATCTTTGGGTTCGAACTGAGGGTGGTCTTGTGGTGGATGTTGGTGATTCATGTCACCGGAGTTTTGCTGAAATCTCAACTTATGTCGCCGGTTTTTCTGGGCTACATGAGATTCCACCCTCAGATTGTTCATCTCCATCAACTCTCAAAGACTAGATTTTGACTAATTTAATGAACTAAATAATATTTTAATGATTCCTGCATGGACATATTCATAGAATTTAATTAAACAACTCAGATCAACTTAGCCTACAGGAAGCATAACATGATTAAATCACACAGTATGTTAAACAAAACTCCTAACTTTAAAGAATGAGAGTAATAAATCGCCAAACACGTGCACACAAAATCAAAGAAAACCTGAAGAAAGACTTGAAATCTGGAAAACCTAAACGACAAAATCAGTGACTGGATTAAAGATCGATCTGATTCACTGACCATGAAGCTCCTTTAAGTGTTTGTTGTGTTTACAAATCGATATACATCAGTGTGTATGTATATATATGTGTGTGAGTGTGTGTGTGTGGATGGGTGTGATGGTTCGTATAAAATTACCTCTGAAATGACATTGTGGACATATATGTGATGGAGCTTGAGATGTATGAGGGTGAGGAGGTACCGGAGAGACTGGATTGGGCACCGTATACGGCGGAGAAGTGGGTAGAAAAGTGGCGTAAGAGACAGGCGACGGTGGGGGAGAGAGAGAGAGGGAGATATTTGTGGATGAGAGAGGGCAGCAGGACAATGATTGCAAAGGTGATAATTCCAGTTGGCTATTTAGGTGTCTTTCATGACCTACGAGATAGTGTGTGTGTGTGTGTTTTTAAACGGCGTTGAGTTTAACGGCGAATATTTAAATTCTAAAAAGTAATATCAATTTCTACATACTATAGTTTCATAGAAAAGGAAACCATCAAGAAACCCTAAATATTGGATGGAGGGAAAATTTAATTTTTTTTTATTAACCTGGATATCCAACCCGTTATGTGATCCGATTAATTTTAGGGCAACCACCTGCTTTACAGATAGTTCGGAGTTACCGCATTTGAATCTCCATGACCACAAGGGGATTTTCATTCCCTCCTTGGATTTGAACCTGCGATCTTCTGGTACTTTTGACATTTGAAGTCAAACTCAAACCAATCAGACACCATCCTTGTGGTTGGAAAAACTTAATTTACAGATTGATATACTATATTTCTAAAATTAACATAAAATTACAATAATAATCCAATCCTAAATATTTGTAACAATTTATTTTTCATTAAATCCCATATATATAAAAACAATCTCTACAATAAACTTGTAAATTTTACGTTTAATTAAAGTCATAACAAATTATAGTTTAACTATCAATATACTTTTTTATGTTAAGATTTTTTTGTTTAACTTAATTATAAAAAAAATAGTATTTATCATGAAAATAAAATGATAAACAATTAATGATGTTTAAAATATGCATTTACAACATTATTTAAGTGTTCACAGGAATAAAAAAATAAAAAAAATGCACACAATTTAGCATTTAAAGTTGACAGTTACAACAACTTAGTTTATTTGTAGAGTTTCTACGTGCATATTTAAACTCTTAAAGTGTGTAAAATTGTAAATTTACCTTCAATACAAATATATATATATATATATATATATATATAAATAGGGTTAGGTTCACGTGAGACTAAAGGTTTTTCGTGAGACCCGTAAGACCAATTTATGTTCATTGATCAACTTTATAAGTTAATGATCTAACGGTTTAAATTGCACGGTGGCAATTTGGTAATTATTAAGAAATCTTGTGGCGTTTATGAATGTTTAGATTGTTAGATTATAGATATAATCCAAGGGTTGAGAATTGGTCTTACGGGTCTCACGAAAAACTATTGGTCTCACATGATCCCAAGTCTCTCTCTCTCTCTCTCTCTCTCTCTCTATATATATATATATATAAATTAATATTCTTTAATAATTATAAAGTTAAAAAAATTATGGTAAGAACCAAAATTCGTGTTTTAACAATTATGGGACATGATATTTTTATAAAAACATGAGTTTGACTTAGGGATAAACCTGATACAATTTAAATAGTTCATTTCATTTTCTGTGTTGCTTCTATGAAAAGGGATAGATGCAAAAAAACTTCTTCGGTTGTTGAGACCAAATAATTACATGATAGACTTAAGTGTCGAGATAGGACCATGAAAGCATGGGATCAATAAATATAATATAAACTATTTTTTTACAATACAACGGACAATATCAATGGTAGTATGGACCATCAGTTTATATGTATGAGATAATACGCGAACACATTGTTGCATAAAATTGTTATGGTATCAAAGCATGCAATTAGTAATCATATACAATGTACTATGATATGTATCAACTGGGATAATTAAATACACTCTTCACATCACATCAAAGAAATGAATACTTGCTACTTATTTATTAATTAAATATTATCACATTAACATAAAAACTCAAATATTCTTTTTAAACAATGAAGATAATTAACCATCAAAGGACGGACTTGATTTTTTTTTCCAAACGGTAACAACATTTAATTATAATAAACAAGTATATGGATATTTTTCAAATAATCATCATTTGTCTGTTGGTTATTTCATTGTTTTTCATTTTTTAAGTCATATATTCAAGTCTTTTTATAATAACTAGAAGCGTACTCGCGCAATGCAGCGAGATACATCGTGATTTTAATATTTCATTCTATTTTTTATCTCAGTCGATGCTATAATATGGCTTTTTGTGATTTTGA